TGTATAGTTTTGCGCTTGAACTAATATATGATCATTAATCTCAAATTTCATTTTTTTAGATTGTTCTACTAATCAGATTCTAGTTTACTACAAATAATTAAAAACTATGGCTTTGAATATTTGTTCTTTAATCGCGCCATGAGATACAGAAAGAACCACTGTAATTGATTTAAGTTTTAAAACTGTTTGGTACGATGTAATCAGATCAAGATTTAATTGATGTTTGGTCCTAAATTGTGATAGTTTGGTCCCTAAATTGGAGGGTGGTTTTTGATATTTGCAGTCAAAGTTTGGACTGAGTTTTAACAGTATTTTAGGGGTTTTTGGTTAATGCTTATCCCACTTTACATGCATTTCTGTTACACATTCTCCAGCTTAATAAAGAGAGGCTTTCTAGTTTCTTTTCTCACTTAGCTTCCATTTGTGTTTGGAAAAAGTTGGATTTTTTTTTAATCACAAAAGATGGCTACTCCATTGATTGTTTCTTTTGGTGAAATGCTTATCGACTTTGTCCCTGACACTTCTGGTGTTTCCTTGGCTGAGTCCAGCGGTTTTCTCAAAGCCCCTGGTGGTGCTCCTGCTAATGTTGCTTGTGCCATCTCCAAACTCGGTGGTAAATCCGCTTTCATCGGCAAGGTTTGTTCTTTTTTCATTTTCTTATCTTGTTATGTGTAGATTGATGGTGCAGAGAGTGATGTTTTTGTTTTCAGTTTGGTGATGATGAGTTTGGACACATGCTGGTTAACATATTGAAGAAGAACGGTGTAAACAGCGAAGGTGTTTGTTTCGACACCAATGCAAGAACTGCATTAGCCTTTGTGACATTGAAAAAAGATGGAGAGAGAGAGTTTATGTTTTACAGGAACCCGAGTGCGGATATGCTCTTGAAAGAGGCTGAGCTAAACAAGGATCTCATCAAGAAAGCCAAGATTTTCCACTATGGTTCCATTAGCTTGATCTCTGAGCCTTGTAGATCAGCTCACATGGCTGCTATGAAAACCGCCAAGGATGCAGGGGTTTTACTCTCTTACGACCCGAATGTTCGGTTGCCTCTTTGGCCTTCCTCTAAGGCTGCCATAGAAGGAATCAAAAGCATTTGGAATGAGGCTGATGTTATCAAGGTACTTGTTTCGTTTAAAAACCGGACTCTAGTTGTGATATGTTCTGTTTGGATGTATGATCGAATTTCCGCGTGTGTAGGTAAGCGATGACGAGGTAGCTTTTCTTACCAATGGAGATGCAGACAAGGATGATGTTGTTTTGACACTAATGCATGATAAGCTTAAATTGCTTATTGTAACTGATGGAGAGAAAGGTTGCAGATACTATACAAAGGTAAACAACACAAGAAGGAATCAAATGCGATATGATTTGCGCCTTTTAGAATGAAGTGAACTAAACAGAATTGTTTTTGCGACTGCCAAAAACGTAGAAATTCAAAGGGAAAGTGGCTGGATACGCTGTGAAAGCAGTTGATACAACTGGAGCTGGTGATTCTTTTGTTGGTGCATTTCTTGTCTCACTGGGAATAGATGGCTCCATACTCGATGTAAGTACAACCGCGCGCATACATTTTCAGGTCTTGGATTAGGCGTATAACGAATTTGAGTTTCGGTGTTTGTGTAATGAATGCTGCAGGATGAAGGGAAGCTTAAGGAGACTCTTGCATTTGCAAATGCATGTGGAGCTGTTTGTACAACTCAGAAAGGAGCTATTCCTGCACTTCCCACTCCATCTGATGCTCAGCAGCTCATGAAATCTAAGTCCAAATAGTTTAAAGTTTCTGATTTTTTTTTTTAAATGGCACTCATG